ACTTCATTCCCTGAATTGATTTTTATTTTTTTACAGAAAATTTCTACTTGTTCAAATGCTACTTATTCTCCACGGCCCAGTTCAAATTCTACTTTATCCAAGAAGCCGTCTCTGATCTTGCCCTTTTCAAGAATCTGAAATGCTCTCTACTGCCTCTGTCTTCTCATAGCACATTGTTTACAGAGCATTTTCTATGTCTGCAGTGAAGTTATTTATTTATCTGTCTTAATTAAATTCCTAAAATGACTACATACCTGTTCGGTGCAGGGCCACAGGGGGGAACACATATTTCAAATCAAATACAATCCATGCTCTTCTCAAAAAATCAACAAGTATTTGTTAAACACTTACAATGTGCCAAACACTATGCCTGGAGCTCCTAGTCTACTATTGGGATAAAACAGAAACATTGATAATTATTATACAAAATATTGGATATATAAATTAGTGTTTACTTTGACACTCAAGGCTATCTAAAGATAGTAAACTACTTGAGTAAGGGTTTTTTTTGTTTGTTTGTTTGTTTTTAATTCTGTTAAAATATATGTCCCAGAAGGGGTAGTAGTAGAACCCCCTCATTTTACAAATGAAGAAAATGAGGCACAGAAATATAATAATTAGCCACCATCACACAGCTAGTAAGTGGAAGAGCCCCTATAATTCCTAGTCATCTTTGGTTTTCTCTCTGTACAGAGAAATCACTCCAAAAGTTTGCTGATATGTTGAACAGAATTTCTTTTTCCTTGTGACTCTCCTGTTTTTGCATGAGAATTGCATCAACCTCGAGAGTCCCTGAGAACATAAGGAGGACTTGGCAGGTCCACATAGACATCTCCTGCATCAGCCTCACCACCAAAGGGGAATCAAGACCAACTAACGGCCAGTTTCTATAACGACCTGGGAAATTACTGGCCCTGCTGACTGTTCCATCCCTTGCTCTCCCAGGAGTGAGGCTGAATAAATGGGAGGCTGAAGAGTACCCTTCCACATGGAGGGGGTTAGGGGTATGGTACCCCATGATCTGGAAAATCCACATAAAAACGTTTGGCCCTCCCTTCATGCCAGGGAAGTCTGAATTTTTTTCTTTTTCTTTCATGCGGTATTTATAGTACCTTACTGTAAAATTTGAGTTGCTATTATACAATACTATACATGTGTTTTATGCATTTCTGAGTTTCTAAATTTTTTTCTGTGTCATCTGCAGCTTTTCACGCATCGTCTGCGGCTTCCACAAAACTCCCAAAAAATTCCTATTTAATTTCTTATGCTGACATGCAGTATATTGAAACCATAATGCAGAAAGTTGTGATGTGGAAGAGATAACTGTAAACAGAGACTCCTAGAACTTTCAGTCTTGAATCTAAGAGTCAAGATTTTCTTCAATACTACAGTACCCAGTCTGGATTAAGAGCCTCATTTGCTAGCCTAGGAAAGAGGAATTGCCAAAGATAATTATTCTCTCCTTTATATCCCTATTGCCCTCTGGGTAGAGTATGGAGGTAAGAAGGAGAAATTTTCCTTTTTGTCCTTCTTTCCCCAATCACTAAATATTTATCTCATAAACATTAGTCAAGTGTTACTACAACAACACTCACAGAGAATTTTAAGTGCCTTTGTAGATACTGAGTGGAAGAGACTTTCCAGATAGCTTCACCTATCTCTCTTCCAACAAGCACAAAATCCTAGAATTGTGGGACAGCCTAAAAAAGAGATTTAGCTACAGTAAGGGTGGAGAACCTGCATCCTTGAGACTACATGTGACCCTCTAGGTCCTCAAGCACAGCCCTCTGACTGAATCCAAACTTCACAGAACAAATTCCCTTAATAAAAGGATTTGTTCTGTAAAATTTGGACTCAGTCAAAAGGCCACACTCAAGGACCTAGAAGTCCACATGTGGCCTCAAGGCTAGGGGGCAGGTAGGTGGCACAGTGGATAAAGTGCTAGGCCTGGAATCAGGAATACTTCTCTTCCTGAGTTCAAATCTGGCCTCAGGCACTTAGTAGCTCTGGGTCCCTGGACAAGTCACTTAACCCTGTTTGCCTTAATTTCTTCATCTGCAAAATGAGCTGACAAAGGAAATGGCAAACCATCCCAGTATCTTTGCCAAGAAGACCCCAAAAGGTATCATAAAGAGTTGGGCACAACTGTAAAACAACAAGGTCTAGTGCTTTCATTTTAGAGATGGGGAAATGAAGAACAGCAGTGACTTAATCAAGGTTATATAACTAGTGAGTTAAAGCCAGGTCTAGAACCCAGTTCTTATGATTCCTAATGCCCTTCTCACTACATCATTTCGTTTCCCAGTCCTACTCTTCAATTGTTCCACATTGTTGTATAGCACCTTATTCATTACCATCATCATGCTTTAAATTCAGTTGTAATGAGGAGTTTCCATCCTATTTCCATGGAGCACTTCTGGTTTCTATAGGAACATCTCTGGTGTTCACTGAAGACATCCTGCCTGGAATTGTGTTCATTTTTGTATGTGTGATTCTGTCTACCCCAATGAAATTGTGAGTTCCTTGAGGACGATGACAAAGCCTGGAATGTTTCTGAATCTTCAACAGTTGAATACTCTACACATGGTAAGTACTAAAACTATGATGAAGATTCATATCCATTATTTCTTCTTTGAATTTAATATACTTCCATCATAGTGCAACTGAAAAAGAGAAATCTTATTAATTAGAGGCAAGATGATATGGTATAAAGGGCACTTTGTATGGAGTAATAAAAACTAGGGTCCAAATCCAAGGGCTGCTACCTACTGGATGAGGCCTTAGGCAAGTCATTTCCCCTTCCTATGCCTCAGTTTCTTCATCTGTATCCCTTACCTAGCTGCACTATGGAGAGGACAGTGCTTTGTGAACTGCAAAGCACTGTAGAAATCAGAGTTCTTATTGTTCTGATTATCTGCCCAGCCCTTCACTAGGCAGGGGCTTATGACTTATTCTATAAATTTCCCAAAGCCCTTTGACTTCTCTTCCCCACTAGGTTTCCTTAGTTAACCAAGAGTGGAACAAGGACAGAAAGAGAATAATTCAGTATCATAGGATCCTGGAGCTGGGAGAGATTTTAAAGATTATCTAATTGAATCGGTATCTGACTGAAAATCCCTAACAAATAGTCCTCCACATTCTGCTGGAAACCGTCCAGTAATGAGATAACTTGTCTTCTCCTGAAGCAGACCATTCCACTTTTGAACATTTTGTCTTTCCTCACATTGGGCCTAAATCTATCTTTTTACAATTTCACAGAATAACAGAATTTAGGAGTTAGAAGGGACTTCAGCAGCTCATGCCCCCAGATGAATCTCTTTTATAATGTAACCCAAAATGATCATTCAACCCTCTACTAGAATGCCTCCAATGAGAGAACTCACCATCTTGCAATGTGGCTCATTATTCTTTTAGACAGCTCTAATTGTAAGGAAGTTTGTTTGTTTGTTTTCTGGTGCCAAACCTGAATTTGTCTGGAGCCAATTAAATCTAATGATTTTTCTTCATGACGTCCATTCAAATAAGACAAAATGTGGTGTAGTAATAAGAACATTGTATTTCTAGTCAGATGAGCTAGTTTGAATCATAGCTCTAATACAGTCATGCAAAAATACTTACTCTCTTTGTTCTTTTTGGTTCACTCACCTGTAAAATTAAGTGGTTAGACAAGATGACCTGTAAGTTCCCTTACATTAGATCATAAATTAAGATCCCTCAATATACTTGAAGACAGTTAGCATATCTCCCTCCCCCCTCTCCAAGTCTTCTCTTTTCCAAGCTAAATATCTTCAGATGGCTTTATTGATACTCAGATGGTATGATCTTGGCTAGTGACATCTTACCATCTTGGTCACTCTGTCATGCTTTTTTATGCCCATCTTAAAATGTGGTGTCCAGAAATGAATGCAATATGCCAGATGTGGTTTGACCAGAGCAGAGTACAGAAGGATTCTTGCTTCCTATGTTCTAAGTACCATGACTTTCAATGAAATCTAAGATCCCATTAGCTTTGGGGGCTGTCATGCCTTGCTGTTAACTCACATTGATCTTGTAGTCTGTTAACTCTCCCAGATCTTTCTTCACATGAGGTGTCAGTTTGGCCATTACTCCTCCGTCTTGTATTTGTGAAGTTGCTTGTTTGAACCCAGGTGGTGGACTTTACACAGATCTCTATTCAGTTTCCTATGACCAGTATATTGCTGCAGTTTTTATAGCCTCATATCTATTTGGATCCTGACTCTTAGCCAGTAGGTCAACTATTCCTTCCAACTTTGTGTCTAGGTTCTCATTACCACCTCCTACCCTGGTGCTCACAAATAGTAAGATGTTTAGTTCACTGGAATCCTATTCTGATGGCTAACCTTGGTGTAGGGGTAACCCTGGGTTCTTGAAGACTATATTGTATAGGATCTGGCAGATCCTAACAAGCTAGAAAAACTTCGAAGGCCAGTCTCCCTTTGAGGGACTATATGTATATTTTGGGGACCACCTTAGCTTACTACAGAGAAACTCATCAAAAGATTGCCCACAAGGTGACAAAATGTTCAGCCAAAGCAAATCTAGGAAATCTTCAGAGTCCTAGAGGAGTTATGAACCACATCTGTGTATGCAATACTCATGCCAATGAAATCTCAAGGTGTGGGGAAAAGAGGGAAATAAAACTGCATCCAATTCAACAAACTTTTATTAATTGCTGCTCTGCACAGGATGCCCATATACAAAGATGAAAAATACAGAAAACCTGCCTTCAAGGAATTCATAGTCTAAATATGGCATATCAACAAATATTGTATAAAGTAGGATGTGATTGAGTTACCAAGAAAGGGGTTTCAATTCAATTCAAATATGGTATCTCTGTGGGAAAGAGCAAACCTTGGTCACAGTAGTTCAAGACTTTTCCTTCTTAAATAAAATTATGCAAATGAATTTAAATTGCACAAATTTCTCTTGACAACTTTTTTTGCTGAAGAGTCTTGCGCCTTGAAGCTCTGTCTAGTCCCTCATTTCTTCTTGCGGCAGCATTTTCGGCGGCCGAGGGAACAGGTCCCAATCTTTTCTTCTTTGCTGGTACATGCAATAGTTCTGCATTTGCCCTTCCTCACTTTGCAGATCAGGCTGCTTATTCGTGACAGCAACCCACTTTCACCTAGAAGGAGAGGAGATTGTTAAACTGTGTAAGGGGGCAGGAATTGAGACAGCTAGGTGGCGTAGTGGATAGAATTCTGGGCCTGGAGTCAAGAAGACCTGACTTCAAATCTAGCCTCAGACACTCATTATCTGTACGACCTCAGACAAATCACTTAACCCCTGTTAGCCTCAGTTTCCTCAACTGTAAAATGATGATAATAAAAGCCCCTATCTCCTAGGGCTGTTGTGAGTACAAGATGAGATATTTATAAATCACTTAGCATAGTGCCCAGCACATAATAAGCACCATATAAAGTGCTAACTAATAGTAAAAATACTAAACTAAAATTACACTCCAAGGTGTTTTTCCAGAAACCTGAACAAAAATAATGCCAACTTGACATCACAGACACTACAATTGTTACAGGTATAATGTCATGCCATGTAAGAGTTGTAGTTCTAGGGGATTGTTAGTTAAATAATATCCTCAAAAATTTTAAATTCACTTTGGCTGATTTAATGCAATCCAATCCAAAAACCATGTAACCTTCTGCTAGATGCTAAGGATTCAATGGCAAACAGTCCCTGTCTATAAGGAATTTGTATTCTAATGAATGATCCACTCTCATCTAAACACAAATGGTCGACCTCTGTGAGCTTCAATTTCTTCATCTGTAAAATTAAAACAGCTCTTAATTCAGAGTTGCTGTTAGGAGATATACATATATTCTATATGTGTATACACATGTACATATATATATATACATACTTATCACTTTGCAAATCTTAAAGCTCTGTATAGATGCTATCTGTTATTATCAATGACCTAACAACACAAGCTTTTTCATCAGCATCTTCTTATTTAAAAAAAAAAAAAACTAAAGGATGGTTTTTCTTTTTTAAATTCCCGGGCTATGATATAGCAGACAGAGAGCTGCTTCAAAGCCAGGAAGAACTATATTCAGCTCCAGCCCAAAACACATACAGGCTCTGTGACCCTGGACAAGACAATCAGCCTCTCAGCTCTCTAAACCAGGAGTGTCAAATTCCAATAGTACCTTGACCAAGTAGCATATTGACTGAGAAAACCTCAAATTAGCAGTATCTATATTGTACTATATTTTTATTTATTTTGTTAAACACTTCTCAATGACATTTTAATCTGGTTCCCCCACTCAAGATTTTTAAAGCACCTTTGGGGCCACTTTGACACTGACTCTGCTTTGGCAACACTTTTAAAGACTCCCTGATGAGTTCCCTATACCAATATAATGAATTGACAGGCCTGTTCTTTATGCCTGAGGCTGTGGCTTTGTCATCAAGGGGGTATGTTACAATTTATCTAACTTTCTGACCATGCAACTGATTCTACTGTGTCTCTAAAGTAAACAATTTAGTCTTGTAAAACAGTCAAAACATGCTAATCCTATGGGTGCAAGCCAGTCCATGGCTTCATGGTCACTTCGGGGACAAGACTGTGAATGTCTTCATTCAAATTGGTCCATTCAACTGTAACTAGTGGAAAAACAAATCAAATCTATTAATATGAGAGCCACCAATTCTGCATGTGAAAAATAATAACAGCAGCTAACTTTAACACATACTTTATGGTTAGCAAAGTGCTTTATATATAATCTTCATAAAACCTCCAGAAGGTGAGTGCTATTTTTATCCTCATTTTTTAGATATGAGGAAACTGAAGTTGAAGAGGCTAAATGACTTGCCTAGATATCACACAATTGGTAAATATCTAAGTCAGAACTAAAATCCACATCTTTTTGATTTGAAGTCCTGAGAAAGTGGTACCATGTAGTAAATAGATTCAGAACCAACAGAAAGAAAAAAATTTTCCAGTCACATTTTTAAACTTTTTTCAATCCAAATGGTTAATTAAAATGCCTTCTCAGTTAAAGGTGGAATATAGAACATGGAGAATATTATGAGGCTAATTGATCAGTTGAAAAAACAACATAAGGTATTGTATAGAAGGCTAGCTTTGGACTGAAAGATATATGAGCTCCAGTCCTGTCTCTATTATATACACATAATCTCTCATACTTCAGTTTCTTGAGGGCAAGAACTATTTTATTTCTACATCCCCAGCTCTGAGGACAGTGACTTGTACTAGAAAGCACTCAATACATGATGAATTGAATGCCAGCTATATGAACATGGGAAATACACATAACTACTTAGTAAGACTATACACTATAGAGCGTTAGAATTGGAATGGATCTTAGAGGTCACCAAATCCAACCTCCTTATTTTAGAAATAAGGAAACAGAGGCCTAGAGAGATTAAGTGCTTTGCTTGGGGTTACAGAGCTAGTAAGAATCAGAGTTGGGATTTGAACCAGGATTTCATGGTCCAGTGCTCAATCCACGTAGCTCAGAGGTGTCAATCACACAGCCTACTGACCTCATGCAACCCCATAACACCCACCAGTGTTGCCTGAACCAGATTAAAATATAATTAGGAAATATTTAACAAAATAAATAAATATACAATATTTAACAAAATAAATAAAAATACAATAAAACATAGATAATATTACACTTTAAAACTAAGTCAATATGTGGCCTTGTAGAGATCTTCTCACACTCCTCTACCCCAACATTTGTATTTGAGTTTCACAGCACCCCACTGCCCTCAGGCTGTTTCTGCATTACAGGAGGCAATTTCCAAATCAGAAATTCCCCAAACCAATAATATTACAGATCTGGACCCCTCTCCTCAAAATGATGCTTGAATTTTAAAATAATTTAAGCCACAAGCCATAATGTATATAGTGTGTGCATTAAAAGGAAACATGACTGAAAAGCATTTGAATTGCACCAGTGCCTACTCTGGTGCACACATTCCCGCTGTCTCTTATTCTTTTTCTCTTTCTTTCTCTTATAATAATAGGATGAAGTGCAAAATAATAATAGCCAATATTTATATAGCACTTACTATGTGCCGGGCACTGTGCTAAGCACTTTACAATTGTTATCCCATTTGCTCCTCAAAACAACCCTGGGAAGTAGGTGCGATTATTATCCCATTTTGTAGATGAGGAAACTGAGGCAGAGGTTAAGTGACGTATTCATGTTCACACAGCTAGTAAGTGTCTGAGGCTGGATCTGAACTCAGACTTTCTTGACTCCAAGTCCAATGCTCTAACCACTTTGTCACAAAAGATATACAAAGGTATTAAAAGTCAGTCTTTTTTTTTTTCCTGGCCAACAGCTCAGGCACAAAATAAGTATGGCACTGGAAAGGGCTATTCATTGGTACAAAACATGTGGGTAGCCCTCTGCGCATGAAGGCCAGGGCTGTATTTGGTCCCCAAGGGCTTTTCATTTTCTCCACAGCTTCTAGGAAAATATAAGTTCTTACTGTAGCCTTAAAAAATGAGAATACCTGTATTGTTCTTTCTGACAAGTTATCATTACCTGTTGATATTTCACTAAAAACAAACAAACTCAGGGAGCCCCATGTTAATATCTTACTCAGAGAACACTGATTTTCCCATTAAGTCAGAAGAACTCTTTTTTCCTATCCTAGTGGTCAGTGGACTGAAAATGTTTGTAAACCAATCCCTGCTGTTATATTCCTTTCTTTCTTCCCAACCTCCTATCTGCCATTCAGAGAAGCCACTAGAGTTAATACTCTTGAGAGAGCCAGATGTAGATCCTGATTTCATGATGGGGTATGCTCTTTTTTCTCTTTGGCCACCTATTCTCCAGGCCCACATCCCTTGCCCCCTCTTACCTGGAATAGGCAGCAGGAACAAGAAGAAAAGGAAAAAGAGCAGGTAATGGATCCTCATGGTTGGTGTTTGACTGGCACTTCCACCCAAGACACTGTGAAGCTTCCAAGATAAGACAGGAGAGAAAGAAGCTCACCTGTGTCTTATTGAGGCTGATGCTGGACAGATTGAGCAGGTAGACACGCTAGCAGTCATTATAAGGTGTGGACAGCCTAATGTCTTTTCCTGAAGCTTCATGCCAGGTGCTCTTACGACACAGAGCTCCACCCCCTCACCTTGCACATGTCATGGTACAGATGACAGATAAAGGATGCAGATACATAAATGTCCCAAAAAAGTCATCCTGTCATCCTGTACCCTTAACCCAACCCATGGAGGATGATCCAATTGGGTTATAAATCTGGTAGTAGGTCTGGAAGTGGTGATGTTCCCCCTCCCCAGTTTGGAAAAGTATAAGAACATCCCACCTGGGCTTGATTTTTCCTCAGCATTGACATATCCTTCTCACCATCATCCCCAACTTTTACATTCAAGAGGAGGATTTCGGAAGTCAATGTCAAGGATGCTACTGGGATCCTCTTCTATCCAACAATGGTAGGCTTGCTCCAGAATATGTTTTTGTTCTAGGGACAGGCCACAGTTGGGCCAGAATCACACTACCTTTGAAGTGGTGGAGAGAAGGATGTGGGGGCAACACTACCTCAGAATGTTCATCCCATATAATTCACTCTCCTAGGGGATGTCTTAATCAAAATGAATCAATAATCCCTTCTTTAAGTGTCTTTTATCTACTAGGATCTATGCTAGGCTTAGGGATTAAAGTAAAAAATGAAACAGTCCCTGTTCTCAAGAGGCTTATATTCTATTGGGTGGAAAAAACAACTATACACATACGACAACTATATATACATAGACGCATATACAAATCTATGTATATATGTACATAAAAATATGCAGGGCATTCCAAAATTATTAAAGTTCAAAACTGTACTGAGGCTTTTGGAATGCCCTATATGTAAAATAAATACAGGGTAATTTTTGGGGGAGAAAGCATTAGTAGCTGAGGGAATCAGGATAGGTTTCATGTAGATGATGGCTCTTGAGCTTTGATGTAAACTAGAGAGATTCTAAAAGAGTTGAGGAGGAAGTGCATTCCAGGCAGGGGGGACAGCCAAGTGCAAAGGTACGGAGATGGGGAATGGACTGTCATGTATGAGAAATAGTAAGAAGAACCCATCACAGTCTTCCCTTTGTCTACAGAACTACTAAGAGGATGAGTCATAGCAAGCTGTCACATTTTACTTCCTCAGAGAATGCTTGTGTGAGACATGCTAATGGGCTGTGATCTGGCCAGTGTTTAAGTAATTCCCCACATGAGTTAGGAGCTCAGAGGTATCTACTCATGATATATCAGATTCTAACATGTATAAAGTATATCACCGAGTGTATAAAGATTCAAGGAAATGTTTCATCAAATCATAGAATGCAGAGATGGAAGGAATTTTGGAAATTATCTAGTCCAGGGGTGGGGAACCTGTGGACTAGAGGCCACATGTGGCCCTCTAGGTCCTAAAGTGTAGCCCTTTGACTGAATCCAAACTTCACAGAACAAATCCCCTTAATAAAAGGATTTGTTCTGTAAAACTTGGACTCAATCGAAAGGCCACACACAAGGACCGAGAAGGCCACATGTGGCCTTGAGGCTGCAGGTTCCCCATCCCTAATCTAGTCCAACCCTCCTCATATTACAGAGGAAGAAATTGAGAACCAGAGAAGAGAACTTGGCCAAGGTGTACAGTTAGTAAGCATCAGACCTGGAATTTGCCAGGCAATTTATTGATCACTAAATGGGTGCCAAAACAATTAATTCACCTCTATATACATCAGTTTCCTCAACTATAAAATGGTGATAATAATAATAATAATGAGAAAATATTTGCAAAGCACTTAGCAGAGTGTCTGGCACAAAGCAGGCATTTAATAAATGCTTATTTGTTAAGTTCCAAAAACTTAATTTATTGATCACTAAATAGGTGGCCTTTGAGACTATGGAACAGGATCATCAGAAAACAGTGAAATTTATTTGTTCCTTTAGTGCCCTATAGATTTGGCTATAAAGAAGTCCAGATAATGGCCCTTTGTCAGTGTGATAGGACTCTCTCACCAGGGTGATTCATAGATATCATATAATGTCAAAGCTTGAAAACACCTTAGAGTCTATTCAGTCCAATAACTCCCCACCTCCCTAAGTTTCCACATGTGGAAAACTCCCTCCAGTCTCTCTAAGGAGTCCCAGAAAAGGAAAGAGACATTCCCAAGATCAAATAGCTAGTTGGTGGCAGACTCCAGAATTCAAACCTTGGTGTCCTCATTTCCAGACCAGTAGTCTTTTCATAAGGCCTTGCTTTTAAACTGTATTAGCTCAATGAGTCTGTAATATTGAAAGGCTGTGTTTGGCTATTGTATCTCTTTGATTAAAATTCAGTCCTTAATTCTCGGGTGGTGGGATTTGAACTATGGCAAAAGTTTTTTTTTTTTAATGGAACGAGATGGAAACAGTGAGTGGAAACAGAGGTTGATTGATATACAAAGGTATTATCTGAGCATACGGGAAAGAGACAAGGGAAGAGAGGGAGCAGGATTTGAGTATTATGGGGGGTTTTAACTTGGCTTACAGATTTTGATCAAAACTAATTATAGTTCATCAGGTTCAAATATGGTTACATTTCCCAGGATAGTGAGAGATTTTCTCATGACAATTATTGGAACACACCATATGTAAAACAAATACAAGGTAATTTTGAGGCGAAGAGGCATTAGTAGCGATGGGGAATCAGAAAAGGCTTCATGTAGATGATGGTGCTGAAGCTGAACTTTGAAGTGAACTAAAGATTCTAAAAAATAGAGTTGAGGAGGCAGAGATGGGGAACGGACTGTTTGATGAGAAGCAGGGTTTGAGTATTATGGGGAACTACAACTTGGTATATACATTTTGCTCCAAGTACAATCACCAGGTTTAGATATGATTTTTGTGTCCCAGGATAGTGAAAGGTTTTCTATCCTATGCTCTTCTTTCACCTTCAACTTCAAATTATCTCATGCCTAATGGGAAAAAGACTTCCTGTATACCCTATCTCCATCATCTGGGACTTGGATCCTTCCAGTTCTAAATCTATAATCTTATGATACATTATCCCTTCCGTTCATCCTGTTATTTTCTTTCAGTCCTTTTAACCTAGACCCACAATAACTGAACTCAATTCCACTGCTTGTTTAACATCTTAAAGTTGAAACTCTCAAAAGGACAGGGAGCAAGGAAATAAGGAGACTAACACTCCAGTCAGCTTTTACATCTTAATATTTATTTACATTTCTTCTCCTTTTCCACTTCTTTTCTTAGAAATTGCTCTTGTCATCCCCACCCCTTCTTCTCTATCAACACATAGAATGATACAATGTCAAAACTGGAAGGGAAGAGGCAGCTAGGTGGCAAAGTGGATAGAGCACCAGCTGTGAAGTCAGGAGGACCTGAGTTCAAATCCAGCCTCAGACACAGTTGTGTGACCCTACGTAAGTCACTTAACCCCAACTGCCTCACCAAAAAAGAAAAAAAAAGAACTAGAAGGGAACTCAAAGATTATCTAAGTGAACCCTTCTCCTTCATTATGATTATAAAATAATCAAATTTTTAGAAAATGATCTAGGATACTGAGAAATAAAGTGAGTTATTCAGGCTTAGCCAGTACGCATCAGTATGTGTCAGAGGCAGAACTTGAATCCAGGTTGTTCCTGTTGCCAGTTTTCTAATAACTATGACCCATACTTCCTCTGTACTCCCTGGAAAGCAGGCACAGATATGCATGGGTAGAAAGAGTTCTTTCCTGGGAGGTAGCTATGCTGATTAGGCCACGGTTTTAGTCAAAACAATAATAACAAATCACATTTCTTTAACATTTGGGGGCTTATGAAGTTCTTACTCTTCAATGAATAGTACCTCGCTTGCAAGGTTCAGTAAGAGAAGTATTATTACCATTTTACAGATGAGGAAACAAACTCATAGAGGCTAAATTTTCTTGCCAAAAGTCACACAGCTAGATAAGGGCAGAGTCAATATAAGAATTGTTGCTTTGGAGTCACTACTGCCAAGATCCAGGACTCCATCTGTCTCAACAATCTTTGTAAATCTATCACCTTGGACAGGGCCTTCCATAATAAATGTGTTAATTTGAATCAAAGTGTTGGCTGAGGAAAAATGGAATAAGGATATTGCTAGTTTTATTCAGCAGAAGGCAACTGGGACAGGAATATCCCCAAATCCTCCAGAGTTGGCCATAATAGGTTACAATCCTTTCCTGCAGCAGTGTTTCTTAGAACTTGGGCATCTTCCAGGCAAGGGCATGCATTTGATTTCTTTTTTATTCCGGCAGATGCCCCGATAAAAATAACAGGAAGGAATGCTGGACTTCTTCCCATCCACTGTAAAAAAAAATTTTAAAAAGTGAGAATTTCTGACAACACTGTGTAGCTCAGACAGACATGAGGTAAGATGAAAAAAGAGGGTAAGCTGGGAACTTGGACCACATTTTCAATCCTGTTGACATTTATCTGTCTGAATATTTGGAGCTGGACGGGACCACAAGAGTCATAATATCATAGAATGATGTTAGACCTGGAAAGGGACCCCAGAAGTCATCTAGTCAAACCCCCACATTTTACAGAGAGGTTTAGTAACTTACTTGTCCAAGATTAGAGTTAGTTAAGTACCTGAGGACAGTATCAAAACCCAGGTATTGGCCCCCTTCATCTTACAGATGAAAAAACTCAGGCCCAGAGAAAAAAAGTCATTTGCCCTAAAGTCACATAGGTAGCAAATGGCATAGATAGAATTTGAATAGGTCCTCAGATTCTGAAACCAGCCTACTACTGTTCACCATATTATAGTCCAGAATTAGTAAAATTTCTGTTTTTGTTCACAGCTGAGTAGAAGATGTAGTATAGTACAATAGAAAGCAGAGCAGCTAGGTGGCACAGTAGATGCAGCACTGGGCCTGGAGTCAGAAAGACCTGAGTTCAAATCTGGCCTCAGACACTTACTTGCTATGTGACCCTGTCTGCCTCAGTTTTCTCATCTGTAAAATGAGCCGGAGAAGGAAATGACAAACCACTTCACTTATCTTTATCAAGCAAGCCCCAGATGGGGTCATGAAGAGCTATGCATAACTGAAAAGACTAAATAACAACATAATAGAAAGAACACTGGATTTGAAGTCAAAAAATCTGGGTTCAAATCTAGCTGTAATATTTACAGCCTGTAGGAACTTATAAAAGTCATTTTTCCCCCTCTTCTTGACTGAGTGTCCTTATTTGTAAAATAAGGGGATTAGATTTTCAGCTCGGATATTATATGATAATCACTCCCATTTATATATGTTTTTTCTTGTTCCCCTATTAGACAAGAAGCTCCATGATGGCAGGGACTGGTGTTATCTATACTTTAGTCCCTGAATGAACACATTAACTGACTACTGTTTGTTGAATTTGAATTTGTAAGGGGGGCTTTCATATCCATCACAATTTCATTTGATCCTCACTACAGCACTGTGAGATAAACAAGGGAGTAGTTACTATCTCCATTTTACCTGGAGTCCTTTGATCTTTCTAATATCCTCTTCTACCCTTGGCACACTTATTATTCTTCCTGGTACTCACTCACACATATACAGCTCCCACAATCAGAACTACCCTTTCCTAGAAGGTTAATCTTGGCCCTTCTTCTCTCTACGTGGTTTCCTCTGCTGAGCTTATTTATCTCTTACTTTCAACTATCTTTTATTAATTATCTTTTATTTATATTTATTTTATTTTATTATTTAATTATCACCTTTAATATTTCATGAAGCTGTGATTTTGAGATAGCTAGAAGGCATAGCAAACAAAGTAGCAGACTGGGAATCATGAAGATCTGAGTTTGAATTCTATGTCAGATAACTACCAGCTCTTTGATCCTCGACAAGTCACCTAAACCTCTCTCAGCCTCAGTTTCTTCATCTATAAAGTGGGTGTAATAAACACCTTGCTCATAGGGTTGTTGTCAGGATCAAATGAGTTAATATGTGTAAATCCCTTCACAAACATTAAAATGCTATATAAAGTTAACTACTATTATCCAGCAAGCATTTATTAAGCTCCTACTATGTGTACTGCTAAAGGCACTGGGTATTAAAAAAAAAGATAAAACAAACTTTGCTTTCAAAAGAGTTTATAACAAATAGGGGAAACAATTGACACACTTAAAGGATGAAGGTCAAGGGCTGAACACCTGTGATTTTGCTGGCATAGGGAATTTCCAGATGAGGAAACTCCCTGTACCATTTGAGGATGATCGACTAGCATAAGTACTTTACTATGCACCAGGCAATGTGCTGAGCACTGGGGATATAAAGAAAGTAAAAACATAAAACCAGGCCCTTCCTCAAGGAGTTTACTAACTAATGACCAAGCCAACATATAAAAAAATAGGTAAAGACACCATAGAGACAAATCAGAAGAAAGGGAACTTTAGAGGGGAAAGTGCAAGTCACCAGCAGGATAACCAACTGAGTCAAGTCTTAAAAGAAGTCAGGGCTAGCAAGAAAAAGAAGTGAGGAGGAATGAATAAGCATTCAAGGCATGGGAGTAACCAGTGTAAAGGTGTAGAGTAAGGAGATGTAATCCTGTGTGGAAGGAAAAGCTAAGCAGATGTGTAGCTGGATCACAGAGCATATGAAGGCAAGGAAAGGGTCAAGAAGAGTGGGAAGGCAGAAAGGGGGACGGGTTGTGAAGGTCTTTAAATGTCAAATAAAGGAATTATTATGGATACAAGGCACTCAGTTGATAGGTGCTAGGCACCAGGATTACAAAAACAAATTAAAATTCCAAAAACAAAATAACATTGAAACAGTCCCTTGCTTCATGGAGCTTCCATTTTATGGAGGAAAAAAACCTATCTACAGATAAGTAAATACAAAAAAGTTTGGAGGAAGCATCACTAACAACTGGAGGAGACCCAGAAAGGCTTGCCATGGGAGGTGGTATCTGAAACGATCCTTGAAGGAAGTTAAAAATTCTAAGAGGGAATGAGTCCACCAGCTCTAAGCCCCTAAGTTAATTATATCAAGACATCTCTGTGAAAGAGTTCAAAGCTTACCTGAGAGTACCTGGCAGAGAATAGCGAAGACCAGGAGCATAAGGGAGGGAAGACGCATGGTGGGCAGAATGTAACCTAGAGGAAAGAGAAATCAGGAGGATTGAAAGGAGACTGTGGGCCTTTCCCCAATTTTTGGAGGCAAGCTTTCTATATGATTGGTCACAGGGATGGAAGAAAGAAGGCTGAGATGGGAGAGGTGGCTTTGCATTCTCTTTTGCAGCTGCTTGGAGCAGTGATTGAAGGAAATGGAATATGTTGTCACCTATAGACTCAGCACAAGGCTGCCTCCTATCACAGAAAAAAGGGAGAAAATTCCCTGGGTTAATACAACATTTTCTGTGATCTTTACATCCTTGTTGAGGGGTTATAGAGCTTGGTGTTTCTTTCTTAAAAGAGAAGGAAAAATGAGGATAATTTAGATAAAACCAATTCAAGAAAATTTGGGAAGGCCAGAATAAGATTATGAAAGTAGAAGTGGTTTTTGAGTCACTTGGTTGAACTAAATTCTCTTTTATTTCCCTGTTCTAAGAATAGGAGAAAGCAGGGTTAGACAGGCCCTGGGCAAAGTCTCTTACAAACTAATGAGTGAGACAACATATAAATAAATAGGTCTAGCTATGGTAGATGCGAATCAAAAGAAAGCCTAAGAGAGGAAGGCTCAAGTGACCAAGAAGGCCTCTTGCAGAAGCTGATGTCTGAGCCATGTCTTCCATGGGTTTTGTTCCCTGGGTTAGGTTGATTCAAGGAAGAGGCATGGGGGTCTCCACTGGGCACTCATCTAAATGATAGTAGAGACAGGTTCGTTCCAAGACTTGGGTTTGAATCAAGTACTGCTAGGAAGCTAATTTGTAGGCTTAATTAAATATTTCATTTGTAGTTTCCAAAATATACCTTACTATTTTTGGCAGAATTTGAAAATATCCTCTCTCCCCCATCCCCAATTCTCTATGATTTCTTAAAGGTTACTGTCTTAGGCATACATGTGTATGTATATCTTGGCCCTGTCCCTCAGGAAAGTCATTTAACCTCTCTTGGGCCTTGGTTTCCTCGTTTATAAAATGAGAGGATTAGACTATATTACCTCAAAGGTCCTTTTTCCAATTTTAAATCTAGGGTCCCATGATCTGCAATTTATCTCACCCCTCAGGGCTGTCATTCTTCAGGGTTTGAAGACCTGAACTTAATGGCTGGATGCTCTCTTACTATGGATCACCTCACCTATTTTAAGCTTCAATTCCCTTAGATGATGTTTGTTTTTTAGTTGGCAGATCATTCTATTTGTTAGATCAGATAATAGTAAAATGGAAATAGAAAAAGCACAGTAATAAATTCACATTCTAAAGTTTTCTAAGATCTCTGTAAAGAGATTTTTCCTGTGAAATCAGTAGTGAAACTATTATCCTCATTTTAAAAATGGTGAAACTGAGTTTCAGAGAGGAAAAGTGAATTGCCCAATGTCACTCTGCCAGTAAGTGTTAGAAGACTAGAACTTCAAACTGGGTATCCAAAATTATATTGTTCCATAGAATAATCAGAGCTAGAAGCTTCCTTGAAAGCATGTAGTTCAGTCTTACTGGTTTACAGATAAGAAAACTGAAGTACTGAGAGGTGTCTTGACTCTACTCACATAGATAATAAAGGGAAGAGACCAGAACCTGAGCATTATACTGTGGGATAACATATCCAAAATGAATTTTTTCTTTATTCTAAAGATCTTTCCTCCCACAAAATGATACAAGTGTCCCAAAAATTTGTAAATTACTCCTTAAATAGATAAATGTTAAGGTATCTATGAAACATACAGTACATGGGGGTTACTCAATAGTGGGATCTTCACTTAAACAAAAGAGCTATAGACCACTTTGGTATTTCACTCCCCTACACCCCTATACCAATCTAATACAATGAAGGAAAACTTCTTTATTCCTTCCTCTGGGCTAACCACACAGTAACTGACCTTTGAATTTCCCATTTTTCTTTTCCCTTCCCAACTCACCTCAAAACAGTTCCTCAACCTGGATCCACCTTGTTTAGGATACTACTGATACCCTCTCCCAGGTAGAAATTTCACACCATAATTACATCATAATCAGGAATCTGATGATCATCAATGGGCTTGGGGTGGGGAGGAAATGAATTTTTTTAAAATAGAGAGTATAGGTGTGATCCTGAGTAATTTGTTTTTAGGGAAGGAGCTTTGAGATTGCCTTCATCCCCCCTTCCCTAAATTCCAGAGTTTTGTTGATGTCTGATTCACACTATCTGATTCACCAGGTTGGTGAATCTACATCATGGTCTCAATGCCATTTTGTCAATTAGGGTATGACAGAAGAGGGAGCTTTTCTCTATCTATAAAACGAGAGAATTGGAATTAACTGTTCTATAAGACACTTTCCAAGTTTAAACGTATGCTCCCAGGTCTACCTTAAAACCCATAGATTCTAGCTCTTCAACATCTCCCCAGCGGCCCACTCACTTTAGGCTAGATAGTTGTCTTGCTTTCAGCTGGAGCCCTGCTGGCAGGGATGGTCTTCTAGGGAAGTTTTCCACTGGAGCATAATCAGAGATCTGGATCACCAACAGGATGAGAGGGTGACATGAGTAATGAGGTTTGTCGAACATGGGACCCGAGGGAAAGTTCTTCCCTCATATGATTTGAGTATTTTCTGATAATACTCTGTAGGTACTCCCTTAGACATACATGTTCATTGGATTAGGAACAGTTATCACTTAGATTCCTTCTATGGCTGCACAAGAATCATTGTCTGTATAGGATGAAGACAACCCATAGATAGCATGGAAATTGGAATACTTCACCTGGATTCTGACACCCAGCTCTGCTACTAATTTTCTATGTGACCTTGGGAAGTATATCAGAGAAAGGCAGGGTGGTGTAGTGAATGGAGAACTGGTCATCAATCTGGTCCAGCCTTCACAGTCAGGAAGAACTGAGCTCAAGTCTGAGACACACATTGGTTGAGTAACCCTTGGCAAGATGCTAAACCTCTCAGTGACCTGGGCAACTCTCATCTAAGACTTAAAGTTGCAAAACTGTTGTCACCTCCATTGATGAGTTTCCCCACTGGGAGCTCTCTGTACTTATAAAGTCACTTTAAAAAAAAGTAGATTAAAAGCTATTAAAAATATCTTTGTTACATCTGAGGGGCAAGGTCATTACCCACCAGGAGAATTAGGGAAGGCATTCTAGAAAAGATATTTGATACATATTTTAAAAGAATAGGCTCAATAAACCAAACAGGGGAGAAAGAATATTATGAAGATGGAAAATAGCATGAGCGAAGGCATGCAGGCAGGAAATTATGAGATATTCACATACCTTATGTATATATGGTATATATGTAGGAGACAGAGAGTTAACTAGACCCTTAAGGGTAAAAGTATATGAAGGAGAGTAACATGAGATAAAATTGAAAATGTGAGGAGAGTGGTACCAGATTGTGGAGGCCATTAACAACAAAGGAATTTTAAATTCACACCCCTTTCCTGGGTCTCAGTTTTCTCAAGTGAGTTTTAACTAAAAGATTCCTAAGCTTCCTTCTAGCTCTCTCTATATAATCCTATCACAAGAAGTAGAGGTCGACTAAAACAGATAGTAAATACTCTGTGGATGTGCCTCAAAGTTTCCCCAAAGAGACCAGTTGCAATCTCTTTCATTACTAAATTTTTTCATGACACCCAAGGAAACTATGATGTGGTAGAAACAGCATAGGACAAGGAAACAAAGGACCCGGGATCAAATTCTGATTTTTTAAAATTGACTACCTGTGACCTTGGATAAATAACACTTGGTTTCACAAGACAATAGATTTAGAGCTAGAAGGGACCTTACTAGCCCAGGACAAGAGAGGTTAAGAGACTTACTCAAAATCACACAGCTAGGTTCTGAAATAGGACTTATACTCAGTCTTTCCTAAATATAGGTCCAGTGCTGGAGTCAAGGAGGCCTAAGTTCAAATCTAGCCTCAGACACGTTGTAGCTGCATGACCCTGAGCAAGAGACTTGATGACTGTCTGACTCACTTTTCTTATCTTTAAAAGGGGGACAATAATTGCACCTACAGGCAGTTACGTGGTGCAGTGAATAGAGCTCTGGGCCTGGAGTCAAGAACATTTAACCTTGTTTGCCTCGGTTTCCATACCTGTAAAATGAGCTGGAAAAGGAAATGGCAAACCATTTTGGTCTTTGCCAAGAAAACCTCAAAAGGGGTCACAAAGTGTTGGATATGACTAAAAATGACTAAACAACCGTCCAGGGTAGTTGTGAGGATAAAATTAGATACTATTTGTAAAGCTTTTCGCAAACTTTAAAATGCTACATAAAATACTAGCCATTATTATTGTTGTTGTTATTTTGCCACTTTGCTGCTTTTAAATCTGCAAAATGAGGAGATCTGACTAAGTAGCCTCTAACATTGCTTCCAATTCAAAATGTATGAGGCTCTTTCCCTTTCTGGGACTCAGTTTCCTCATCTTTAAAAATGTGGGGGCTGAACTAGCTAGTCTTTAAAGTTCATTCCAACTCTCCACCAAATGGCTTTCATGTGACAAATTTATACATACTTTCCAATAGGCTGCAACCAAGTAAATAGGTTATTTTCAAAAGTATGTTTAATGACTATTCAAACTCTATGCCATTTGTTCACAACTTATTTGTTGTTATTTGGTTGTGTCCACCTCTACTTGACCCCATGGACTTTGTCCATGGGGTTTTCTTGGCAAAGATAATGAAATGGTTTGTCATTTCCTTCTCCAGTGTGTCCCCATTTTACAGATGAGGAACTGAGTCAGATAGGGTGTGTGACTTGCCTAGGGTCCCATAGCTAGTAAGTGTCTGAGACTGGATTTGAACTCAGTTCCTGACTCCAGGCCCAATGTTCTACCCACTGCATCCCACACAGCTTGTTTGGAGAGGTAGAAAATGAGGTAGGATTCGGACAGAGCTCCCTGGGTTTCTCTTGTAGTCAGTCTACAAATATTCATTCAGGACTGATTCTGGGTAGGACACTCTGGATGAGTCTTCACCAAACTGTGTCAATGTAGCTATCAGAAGTGGGACCCTAGATACTTTCCCATATGCTTTCACACCCACAGCTGTAGTTCCTTCAGCAAAGACAACTTGTCTCACTGCTTACCTGGCACTACCAGAGAGGGCTAAAGGTAGGAACAAAGAGGAGGCAGAGACTGTCTATGACATAGGGCATCCCAAAGCAGCTGCTTCATCTCAAGCCATCTCATCTTCACCCAGGACTCCAGGGTAGGCCCAGAGTGAATTAAACATAGAGCCCTCATAAATGATCTTTCCCTTGCGAGGGGTGCCTGGATAGGAATGAACCTCATTTTCTCATCTGGAAAAGGGCTACATATTTAGGGAAAGACTTCAGATAAAGTAGAACATCCTTGCCAGGGCAAACAAATGATTAAGTTAAAAGAAGCTGACTGCCAATGCCAGGCAGGGGTGGAGGGAATGCAAAGCTCATGACTCACTCAGGCCCTTCCCCACCCTCCCATCCAGCTCTGATAGCTACTATTCCTCTCCTCTCTCTCCTTTGAAAGGCGGATACTCCCAGATCAAATTATTCTCCTTGTCACAGGAATCATGCTGAGCCTCATTCCTGCCTTTGAGCAGAAAGCACCCATCATTAAGTGGGTAGAAAACATGACTCACTGGCCACTTGCCTGCTCTTACTCTTGCTCAGTATGAAGGCTGCATGTGTGGCGACATAAGCAGAGGATTTAGGGACAGACAACCTAAATTTTATTATGGCTTTGCCTCTTACTACCTGTGATACTCTGGGTAAGTCAATTTCTGCAGAAGAGATTGAACTAGGTGACCTCTTTGTGAAACCTATGACACACTAAGGAAATCAGCACACTCCCAACTATTGTGAGACTGGGAGAGATGAGGGTGGGGAACAGACTCTTTGCCAACACTCTCTAAAGCCTACACTAGGGTAAGATGAGGAAGATAGGTTTAATGAAGTACTCCTTTTTTCTTTCCCTTTGTAGGGACCCTCCTCTCAACGCCTGGAGTAGTCCAACACCTTTGTCCAACCTCCGTCTCTATGGCTTTTCACAGGAGATCCTCCTGCCCCAGGAATGTACTCTCTCCTAATCTCTGCCTCCTGGAATCCATAAATGATGATGATGATGATGATGATGATGATGATGATGATGATGATGAATGATGATGATAGCATTTATATAGCACTTTAAAGTTCCTAAAAAGCTTTACAAATATTAACTCATTTAATCCTCACAACCACTCTATAAAGCACTATTATTATCCCCATTTGACAAATGAGGAAAGTAAAGCTGAGGGGGATTAAATGGATTGCTCAGGGCTTCCAGTTCATATGAGCAACAAGGTAGAGGACTGGGCATTTTCTGTGATCCCCACAATATCTTAAACCTCTCAGAAATGGAAATTATATACCAAAGATAAAGCCAGAAACCAAAAGCAGATAAAAATAAAACAAAGCCCATGAACTGACATTCACCTTGAGCTCACTAAAAGTCCCTTCCCTGCCTCCCATGCTACTGGCAGCAAAGGCTGCTCTACCAGACCCAAGGCCCTGACACACAATTTTGCAACAAAATCCTACCTACACCTGGTCCATCCTCCCTCTTTCTAGTGCTGTGGAGACCCTAGTTCCTGAATGTGGAAGTTTTCTCAGCCTAGACAGATACCTTCCAGGGGAGAAGCTAGCAGGGTCCTTGATAAACAGTCAACATCATGACAGGAAGCATTCTATGCTGCAAAAGATCTTTTCAGGAGAGACAGAAACAGAGGAAAAAGGGCAAGACATATGTCATGGCTTGAAATAGAGCTTAACATCCTACCCCACCTGACCCTCCTCCCAGTGCCTCAGAGATCCAAACTATAGAAATCAACCCCTTTGCACCATCATAGCAAATGTTCTGAACTACCAACATAGGCCCAGAGAATTGAGGAACAGAGGGAGCAGGACAGAAGACCACAAGGGTTGGGGGAGTCACGCTGCACTCCACTAAGCCTGAGGAAAAGATCTCAGTATTCAATTGGGGCCAG